CTCTTCTTATTGCGGCAAATACGTCTCGCTTCCTTCTTCAGTTCCCTATAACGGTCCCACATGGCTCGCGTTGCGCCCGATCGCAGCGTGGCCCTGTAGGCGGCATCTTTTTTCTCTGCGGCTTCTTGACATTCCTCATCGTACCAGTTGTTCTTTCGGGCTCGCTGAAATCCAACTACTTCTTCGGCGGCGGTACTTAATGATCGGGAAATGTGGTTCCACTGCTCGCATACGTCGGATTGTTGAAGAGTGCTCTCAGAGAGCAGGTGTGTGAGTCGAGTGGCGAATAAATTGGCCGTCTGTTGTGATTGCAGCTTTTCGACGTTAAGCTTTCCTTGCATTGTTGGGCGCACATTTTTTGCTGCACAGAGGCGGGTGCGTATCTTGGCTACAACAAGATAGTGGTCCGAGTCGATGTTTGGCCCTCGGAGTGTACGTACGTCCAAAACGCTTGAAGCATGCCTTCCCTCTATCACAACATGATCGATTTGGTTTCTCGTTTTTCAATCTGGAGACAGCCATGTAGCTTGGTGGATGTTCTTATGCTGGAACCTAGTACTACATATTACCATATTTTGGGCCCCGGCGAAGTCGATCAGCCTCAGTCCGTTATCGGACGTTTCGTCGCGGAGGCTGAATTTTCCGACAGTGGCGCCAAAGATCCCTTCCTTGCCCACCTTGGCATTAAAATCGCCAAGCACGATTTTGACATCGTGTCGGGGGCAGCGCTCATATGTACGTTCCAAGCGCTCATAGAAGAGATACTTGGACGCCTCATCCTTCTCTTCCGTCGGGGCATGGGCGCAGATGAGCGAGATGTTGAAGAATCTAGCTTTGATGCAGATTGTGGCTAGACGTTCGTCCACCGGGGTGAACGCCAGTACTCGGCGACGGAGTCTCTCTCCTACCACGAATCCAACACCGAATTTGCGCTCCTTTACGTGGCAACTGTAGTAGACGTCGCAAGGCCTTGATGTCAGCCTTTGTCTTCCCTAGGACATCAACCAGCCGGGCAGAGGCACCTTCCCCATTAAGGGTCCGGATATTCCAGGTGCATACCCTTAAATCATAGTCCTTTATACGTTTGCCGTGGTCGTCATCAGAAAAAGGGGGTCTCATCCGAGGCTGTTTGCTTCTTTTCATTGGGCGGGGTTTTAACGTGGCGGGACCCAAACCCAGCGCACGTGAAGTTTTACGCCTTCTCACTTTAGCTCGCTCCCAAACGGGTGTTTGGTTGCTACCCAGAGGATACGTGGATATAAATATCCGGACGTTGTGAGCTGCGATTTGAACCGTACGCACAAGAATCGCTTCTGGCCACTCCCAGGTGAATGGCAGTCAAAAGTTTTCCACTTCTGCGCACGGAACCATCCTCCATCCTTGTTTACTTAAAGATTTCATTTTAGAAAGCAGAATCATACGTTGTCATTAAATGTAAGACTTTTTTATTCGTTGTAAAATTATAAACATACGTATAAATGTATAAATATGTAACGTGAAGTATGTACAAATCTCTTTTGCTCTTGTAAAGCAAGAAAAATAAATATAAGTACATTGTACGTCCCAAAAAAATTAGTTCCAATGTACATTTTGGTAATTTTTTTAATTGATACTAAAAAAATTCATGATACATTGATAAATTTTTAATTTTTTTCTGCTATTTTTTGAGTTATTTATTTGAAAAAAAATACTTCTTATTTGTATTTATTTTTGATTATGAAGATAAGAAGAGCGATACGGATAATTATTCACTTTGCTGTAAGTTAAATTGAATCTCTTTCTCAATTTGAGCTATCACTCTTACAAACAAACTTTTAAATTTTCAATAACAAAATTTTTAAAAATTCGAATTAATTCGAATTTGAACCGCCGAGTTTCGAATCGAATAATGGAATGGCTCGTTCCAGAAAATTATGCAAACGAAGGTGATGCCAACGAATATTTAGTATGAAGAATTTTTGGTTTTACTACTAATATAACTAAAAACTGTATAGTGAGCAACATTCTGCACAAGTAGGAGCCGATTTTATGTGTGGGAGCGAGAAGACTGTTTTATTACAAAACCTTTCTATTATTGAATCATGAGTCAGACCTGTGATCTTTTGGCCAAAGGTTATTTTATTCCACGCAAGTAGGGTGGCCAGATGCGCTGATTTAATCAGAACATGTGCCGATTTTTTTCTATTGTACTGATTTTTAAGAGCCCGAAATCAGTACGCAAAATATACTGATTTTTTGAGTTTGTACTGATTTTGTACTGATTTTTACATTAAATAAATACTTTTGTAAATTGGTGTAATTGACATTTACTTGAGGTTTACAGGTTCAAAACAATGGTTTTTGACAACTCATACTTGTGAGCAGATTGAAAGCATTAATTAAATTTAAACCATTATTAAAAAGATGTCAGCTTGCAATTGTTTCGTTTCCTAGGATTTCGCAAAATAACAAACTATTTGGATTCAACCCAACCCGATTTGCAATTACGATTTGCAGGTTTTACAGGATTTAAAGGAAAAGCCGGTTTCGCCATTAATAAATCTTATGAAAGGTGGTGGTGAGTTAATCATATATTAAGTACACTGAGAAGATGACAATAAGAGATAATCTTTTGATTATAATTAAACATCCACTGAGAAATCGGCTGTCAGTATATCAAACTTAAGACGACTACTGCTACGGTGCAATGTAAGTTCTAAAAATTTGGAAAAGGTGCAAACTACCGACTCTTGGATATGATATATGTAGCTTTACTTTGATTTTTGATGTTCGAGCACCTGTAATTTTACTTGCACATACACATTTAACACTATTAAATTTCATTCGTACTCGAAAATTCGTTTAGCGATAATTCGGTAATATACCTTTTAGTCAACATTTTAATGTGAATGTTGTATTTAATAAGCACACCAACTAAATATGTTTTAAATATGTAGCTTAAAATATGCAAACAGATTCTGACTCGAGCTCGTCTTCTACTGAAACTGAATGGGCTACAATTTTTTTTTTAATTTTCTCAATTTTTATAAATTTTCTAGAAAGTTTGAGACTTCAACTCACATGCCTTTTGTTATAGAATTAACCATGATACAAATATTTAAAGGTAAAACCGCTCGCTCAATTCGTCCGCCATTGGGTTTTTTTGACGTTTGCTAGCATTTTGATTAAACTCTCTCGAAATGATTCAAATGTCAAATAAATTCAAAATAAACAAATGAAATTTTATGATTTGAAAATTTTTTTATTCAAATGTGGGAAAAAATTTCAAAAGTAAGAGAAGAAAAATGAGTTGCTGCTTTAAAGGCTGCGAAAATTCCGTTGTCCTCTGCAAGCAAAGCAATATCAAAATGGATCGAGGTTTGTGGTGTTATGAAAAAGGATTTGCCAAATTGCCCCTGTGTATGCTCGGCTCATATTTTGCCACATCACTTGACTTAATATAAGCACAAGATATGTAGTTCTTTGGAACAGTACAGTGCCGTTAAGGTACAATATCTTTAAATGTATGCCAAAATCTTCGCTTTAACATGCGGGCAGAAGTTCCTTACACAGAATTGCTTACATTTATTTATTTACATACATACTATGTACATTGTACATTAAAATTTTGTTGTTTCGACAGAAATATATTTATTTGGTTTGAGTGAAAATAAAAACAAACAAATGAAATGACGGCGAGAGAAAAATGCAAAAATGCTAGCAAACGTCAAAATTCCTAAAGTTGGCTCTCAGCGATTGTACCTTATAAATATTGTTATCATGGATTAACTATATTTTTATAAAAAATTTAACCTAAGTAAGGAAAAATTTTCAAAACCTGTCAATACATTTTACTACTATTTTCCTGAGCACAGCTGTACATACATACGTAATACCTTTGATTTGTTTTAAAGTAATGCATTTTTATATTGATAATACTATATGTATTTAAAAGTCTATTAGTTATTTTTTGTTAAATAAATGCGCTGTTATTTGGTTGTTATATTGTTAATAATAAAAAATACGCTTAAAAATGAGCTGATTTGTATGGCTTTGTACTGATTTTTGATCCCAACTTTACTGATTATGTCACTATAATATCTGGCCACCCTATACGCAAGTGGTGTACAAACGATCCAGATGTCTTATGCAAAATATCAGAAAACGAGAGGCAAACATTTTTGAAGTTTAACGATGGGAGCGAAGTAACAAAACGCTTGGACTTATCTGGGATACGAGAACTGATTGCTTTCTCTTCTGTTTCAACCCAGCTTCATCAACATGCAAAAGAATCACGAAACGAAGTGTACTTTCAGTTATAGCACGAATTTATGATCCGCTGGGTTTAATTGGGCCTGTTATAAGAAAAGCAAAAATTTTGCTTCAACGTTTGTGGAAGGAAAAGCTTCATTGGGATGAGAGCTTACCGCAAAGCTTACAAAATGCTTGGCTCAGTATTAGATAAGCTTCGTTTTGACAGATATTCTCTTTCGCCTGAAGCTCGTTTGCAAGTACATGCATTCTGTGATGCAGCCTATTAGCATATGGAGCATGCATTAATATACTATCTGAGAGGTGCGGTAAAATAAAAACAAATTTGCTTTGTTCAAAATCTCGAGTATCTCCACTAAAAACACTCACAGTGCCAAAGCTAGAACTTTGCGCTACGTCGTTGTTGACAGCGCTCATCAACTCAGTGGCTCAACTAAACATCTTTGGCAGCGAATTTTATTGTTGGTTGGACTCCATAGTCGTTTTGTCGTGGATCAGCGGAGAACCTTCAAATTACAAAATGTTCAGCGAGCGCACTTAGCTTCCGACTACAAGGCTTTAGTAACAAACAAGGAGATAGCCGCATCTAGCGATTTATATTCACGAATGCCGTTTATAGACAAAGACGGCTTGATGCATGTGGGTGGGCGACTTGAAAACTCGTCATTGAACTTTGAATCAAAGCATCCAATCATATTATGGTCATGGTGGACCACAAGCCTTAAAATCGAGCATTTTTAGTAACTGGCATGGATTTCTGTGGCCCGTTCTTGTATCGATCTGAAGTACGCAATAAACCTGCTACTAAATGCTACATCTGCCTCTTTGTTTGCTTTAGCACAAAGGCTGTACACTTTGAGTTGGTGAGTGATTTGTCAACACCATCGTTTCTAGCCGCTTTGGTGTGATAACGCTACAAACTTCGTTGGTGCAAAAAATTAATTGGCAGAGCTAAAGCAACTATTTTTTAACGACCAACATTGCCAAGCAATTCATCAGCAGTGCCTCGACGATGGGAGCCATCCGTAAAACTGCAAAATTTCATTTTTGGCGTGTTGTTGGGCTTTAGATTTTAAACTTCGATGAATAAAGAAGACTGGTGGTTGAAATTTCTGCAATAATGAACTCTCGCCCTCTCTATCCTCTTACAGAAAATCCTGAAGACCTTGACGTACTAACTCCGGCCCACTTTCTGATCGGGTCAGCATTCACCGCGTTGATTGAGCCACATGTTTCAGTGCTTAACATCAACCGCTTGGACAGGTGGCGGCGGGTTTGCAATATGCAGCGAATCTTCTGGAAAAAGTGGTCTGCTGAGTATCTCACACTTCTGCAGCAACGTAGCAAATGGCGCTACCAAAAGCCGAATATTGAAATCGGAACCATGGTGCTTGTTAAAGATGAGAATTTGCCTCCGCTGAAGGCTGTAGAAACCATGAAAGGCAACGGAGAAGTCGCGCGAGTGGCTGTTCTTCGCATTGTAATTCTCTAACTATTAGGCGGGACCATTAAGTAACCCTTCATATGTACATATTTAGGTTGTGGATTAGCATCACAACTGCTCTAACTTTTAGTATCAAGTCATGAGGTGCAACTCCCCTACTTCTACTTGCTCCTGTGGATATTCAGAAACGACAGTAGATATCGACGCCATTTCTTCTCCGGACAACACAAATATTAACCATTTCTTTATTAACTATCGTACAGGTCTTATTTTGTGGACGCGAAATTGATCGATCCTTCAAGTGGTTTTTATTAATTATACCAGGCTGAGGTTCAAATATCCAATCGGCTAAATCTCGCAAAATAATCTCTTGTGGCACTAATCTTAATTTTTGAGTATGTGGAGAATTCTCGGCCTTCTGTAACCTGCAACAGAAAACTGAAATAAAAACGCATATTTATCGAGAGTTTAAAATACTTTACCGTTCCCTTAGTTCGACCCCCAGGATTTGTTGAAGTTTTCAAGCATTTTAAAACCATAAAAAATTGAAATAAAGAAATGAAATTGTTCAAAATTGGTGAAAATTAAAATGCGTGTGAGATTCAGTTTTACATTTTAAAATTGCTCAATGTAAAATTTTGAAAATCTTTCCGTGCAAATATATACATAGAATGATTCTTAAATCTGAAATGCCACATTTTTGTTTTGCAGATCTTCCGCTGTATCACATTCGCACGAACATAGCAATGCTTTGCTCGATATGAAACAAAAACAGGAACGAAAACGAATAAATGGAACATAGCAATGCTCAAATCAAAATAAAGCGCACAGCGCTGCGGCGATGTTGTTGTTGATACTGTGTATGAATAGCCCTGTTCGCGTACGCACTATCCAGTAAATCCAGTACTAATTTTACTGGTTTTCTACTGGATGTCGTTTTCGTACGCAAAAACTTGCAAGAAACTAGCAAAAAAGGGGAAATTGAGAGAGCAAAAATGATAGCTGAACTTGGAAGTTTTACTGGATAAATTTTTACTAGCAACTATTTGCTAGTAAGAAAAACAGCTGATGGCATGATGCTTAATGTTATTCACAATAACAAAATAATTGTTTGTGGTACCTTTAGAGCTGCAATTGACAAAATAAACCTATTTAAATTTATAATAAGATGGAAAATACTAGTTTTCTAAGAAAATTGCATCGGAAAATAACAAATTAATCAGCTGTTCATAAAACTACCCTGCCAGCCACGGCTCACCACTTTCCCCTGAAATTCAAATGATTCACCAACACATACCCAACTTTTTTGTCATCTCACTCACACACTCAAAAGTTGTCGAAAAAAGTTTCCATAAGTAAGAGCAGCGTAGCTATAAGAATTCGCACTCTTAATAAGAATTATATGCGTTAGAGCGAGCAAGTGAAAATCAGGCGAAATTTGACAGCGAATTTTAAATTTGATTCTAGTAGGCTGCGAAGAAAAACATCAATTTCGCGCAAAATTTTGGAGGTAAGAAGCAATTTAATTTGATTAAATGTAATTTTTCTTTTATTAAATACATATATGTATATTTTATATATCCATAGATAGCCAAACATCAGCAGGAGACTTAAGCCATCAGAACCTTGAAGGTAAGAAGACTAAAGTTTCCCAATTTAACATAGTTTGGCTGAGTTCCAGGTTGGTATATTGCAAAGCATTAGCCTCTTTTATTTCTAAACTAAATATAACTAATAGAAAAGTGCAATAAGCGCAACCATGTTCAAACGCCGAATTGGAACTTAGTTGGGCAAATTGGTCATTTCCATCAGTTATAGTTTATAAATAAACGAGGCTGATGCTTTGCAATATACCAACTTGGAAGTCAGCCTTTAACCATTGTTAACAGTTTCATTTGATTATAATGTAATTATTTCTTTTAGATTACCAAACATCAGCAACGACGCCCACAGCACATTCAACGCCATTGGTCGCCAACAACTCTCAACCCTACAACATTCCAGCTACATTGTTCGGTGAGTTTAAATATATATAAATATAAAATACGTTGGTTTAAATATTAAGAAACGCGGTTGCTCCAGACGCAACTAAATCCATATGTATGTATGTACTTACTTGTGTTTATGTCGTCGGTGATACTGCAAAACTCTGCAGAAATTATTACCTCTGGCACTGATTTGTTACCCTCACCGGAGTGCCAAAATTTATAATCTATTAAACTCGTGACGAAAATGTATTCCTTTTTCTGTAAGGTACGGGTGAGGGATTATTTAATTAAAGTTTGCAGTATCACTGCCGACACGTAGATATATACATATGTAAACAGAAAGTGCTGTGAAAAGTGCAACAGAATGCCAGCTTTGGCTACAACTACATAAATGTGGTCACATGTATGTATATAAACAAAAAATAAAGTATTAGTAACTAAATGTACTTATGTAAGTAAAAAGAAGGAAGTGCAATGCAAATATGTATGTACATATGTATGTTAAAAGTGCAACTAGGTACATATGTAAACAGCAATAAGTGTGGTGCAATAAATGGGAAAAGTGCAGTAGAATGTCTGTTTTCCTAAGCGCAACAATATAGTTAAAACATCAGTTTCTTTTAATTCCAATTAACAGCAAATTTGCTTAATTTGTGCCAACTGAGTTGAATGTAAATTGTGTAAATTATCATTTCACGGTTGTACACTCAAGAATTGATGCGTTTTTAAAAACAGACATTTTCGGTCAGGAACAATATTTGCATCCGCTGCATTTGCATCAGTTGTTGTAGTTGCATCGACCAAATGCTGGCTGAGTACCTACATTGTATACATACATATGTGTGGAAATAGTTGCAACTGCATAAGTGTGTAGATATGTATGCAGTTAAACAAAAGAAAGTGAAGTGCAAGTACCTTTGTACAAAGCGCAGCTGCAACGACGTACATGTGTACATACGTATGTCGGTAAAAAGAGGAAAGTGCAGTGGAAATATGTATATATATATCGTCGCTCGAATAAAGAAACAGTGTAAATGCCAAATACACTTTTACTCGATAATTGCACTATTGGATAGACAATCCTTTAATCTATTTGAAAAATGTTTAGTTTTCCTAAATATCTCTTTGGCTCACTAATTTATTCCCGAAAAACCAAATTGTATTTGTATGGTTTGTAATGGTTTATAAAAACTTTCAATTCGTTTTTCTCAAAACTATACTTTTCATGTTACACTATTTCATTATTCCAGCGACGACATGTACATATGTGCAACATATAATTAGCATGTCATGGGGGTGCTATTTTGGACTTAACGCGTTTTGGAAATAAGTTTTTCTTTTCGTCTAGGTACGATATGTGCAACATATGTATGTACAATTAGCATACATACGGCACAATATGTAGAGCTACATATCGCCGTTTAAAGTACAAAACCGCGTATCGTCGCTCTGCAAAGCCGCGTAAATTACCTTTTTTGCCAAAAATTGGATTAGCTAACAATAGCTCTTGGCTCAAGCCTTATCCATTCGTTCTGAAATATACTAGCCAGAAATGCGATTGCTTTACAAAAAAGAAAACCATTTTGACATATGAGAGTTTTTACGCTCTGGAATATAATTTATGCAACCTCACATACGCGGTTTTGCATTATCTTGATACGCGGTTTTGTACTTTAAACGACGATATGTGGATACACTTGCCTATGGCCATAATATATAGACGTTTCAATGAAGTGTTTTTTTGGTTTTGTTGCGATATTTTTTATTATAATTATTTTTTATCAAATTTTATTTTTATATTTTCTTTGCAGGTCGTGGAATACAGACAGTAGAAGTCAGCGGAGATTAGATATATATATAAATTTTATCTGTTATTAATTTTATTATTATAATATCTAATATAATAATAATATTATAATAATAGTATTATAATATTATTATTTTTATTACTACTTTAATTGCTATTATTATCATTATTAATAGAATTATTATTAGATCGTACCTTTACACCATTATTTATTACGGTATGCATAAAAGAACGCTTTCTAACCTTATAAGTAAGGCAAAAGCTTATTATAAAGCAACAGTTGCGAAGTTTCGCAAACTGAATGAATCGACTTCTGGGTTAGAAAGCGATGATATTCCATCCACGAGTAGAGAAGCATTTTGCCGCGGAATAAATAGTGATCTAACGTCCAGCACTATGGAAGAGTTTCCTGAATTAGATATCGATGAATATAATAGCGATGATGACAGGTTTTTGTTTGAAGATGTCGAAAGTGATGATAGCACAGAAGAATCTGCAAACAAAAACCTAAGCGAGGAAATTTGTAGGGGGTTAAAAACGTGGGCAATCAAAAATAATATTTCGCAAAATAGCCTAACGGACCTCCTACAAACCTTACATAATGTTGGACTTAACGGGTTACCTTTAACTGCAAGAACCATTTTGGGTACAAGTAGAAAAATAGTTCAAATTCGACCTTTTCCTGAAGGTGAATTTTTGTATTTAGGAATACAATATAATTTTAATTTCAAAGATTTTGATTTTTTAGAAAATACGGAAAGAATTTCAGTAGATGTCGGTATAGATGGTTTGAAATTATTTAAAAGCTCTAATAGGGCATTGTGGCCCATTTTGGGGCATGTAGAAGCTTTTCCTAATTCGGTCACATTTACTATTGCCTGCTTCTCAGGAATGAGTAAGCCATCCGATGTTAATAATTTCCTTGCTGAGTTTTGCGAAGAGATAAAAATTCTCAGTCAGAATGGTGTAAGGGTGGGATGTAAGCAGGTTTTAAAAGAATTTAGTGTAAGACTTTTCACATGTGACACACCAGCTCGCGCCTTTATAACTGGCGTTAAGTCACACACTGGGAAAAACAGCTGCCCTAAATGTCTTCAACAAGGACAGTATTTACAAAGAAGGGTCTGTTTTTCTCAAAACGTTGGAGAATTAAGAACAGATAGTTCGTTTAAAAATAGAGTAGATATAACACATCATTTAGACGAATTTAGACAGTGTGAAATCTTGCTAGAATCTGTAAATATTGGCATGGTTTCTCAATTTCCGTTAGAACCCATGCATTTAGTTGATTTAGGAGTAACTAAAAAACTACTCCAGTTGCTTATTAAAAGAGGGAACGTAACAAAGATGAATGAAAAAATATTATTTCTGAATAAGTTCGTTCCCTCTGAATTTTCCAGACTCAGTCGAGATCTGCGTGAAATAAGCAACTGGAAGTCGACAGAATACCGGCAATTTTTATTGTACTCGGGGTTGTTTGTTTTGAAAGACTGTATACCGGATAACTTGTATTACCATTTTCTTTTGTTGCATGTCGGTATTCGCCTTCTCTCTTGTGAGAAGTCTTGTCAAGTAGAATCTAATGTCGCTAATGAAATGTTAAAAGAATTTGTAAAGTTGTTTAGTAATTTTTACGGCGAACATTTAATCAGTTTTAATGTCCATGGTCTTTTGCATTTAAGTGATTGCGTTAAACAATTTGGTCCTTTAGACAATTTTTCTGCATATAAATTCGAAAATTATATGCAATATATAAAAATAATTATTAATAATCCAAATAAAATATTGCAGCAATTATTTTTAAGAATAGAAGAACGAAGAGATATTACGGATTCTAGCAAAATTTCACAAATAGATAAGTTTATTATAAATTGTAAAAAAGAAAAAGATAGTTTTTTCTTTAGTAAAAAAACGGGATCCCTAAAAATTGTCAACCAACAAACCCAAACAGACAGTTTTGGCGTTGTAGTTTTAACAAAGGTGGGGACATTTTTAGGGAGCCCGTGGTGTCCTCATCTGATTTAGGTATTTTTGTAGCTCAAATTATAGATGAAGACATTCAAATTATTAAGAGAGAAGATATAGACCATAAGTATTTTGCTATTCCAGTAGGGAATAAATTTATTTTAATTCCTATGTTACATAACTTATTTTATAATTTTACTTAGAAATAAATGGAATTCAGTTTTATTAATGATGGAGAATGAATCGACTTCTGGGTTAGAAAGCGATGATATTCCATCCACGA